AAAAAAAAGTTACTCTTTCAAGCTCCAATTTTTCAATTCTTCCGACGAGTTGATGGAGCGTATCTTCGAGCTGAGAAACGTTGACGGTGTCATTGATGTTGACAGTAGTCGTTCCAGTAAGTGTTGTGGCTACGCGACCGCCTGCTATAAAACGCCAGCATATCAGCTTATTGAATATGCGACGACGGCGCATTCGCGATTGCTGATTGGTCGCTTATAGCAACCAATCACAATGCTTGAACGGTCGGTAACAAAGTGCACTTACCGCCCACATGGGTGCCAGTGTAATCGATGCCGACGGGGAACGGCACGGAGCGTGGATATTGTACATCCTCTTCGGCAGTGCCTCTTGGAATATCCACCTCACGTCCGTCACGTGGCTCGCCTCCTTCGATGATGTCTTGGCGGAAGCGGTTGAGGTTGATGACGCGGCTGGCAGAAGCCTGAACCGATTATTCCCCTGATTATACGCCCCAGGCAATGTGGCTTTGTCCAGTACCTGGAATCGCCGCAATGCATCTGCCAACGAATCTCTCTCGGAATCAACATTGATGAAATCTTGTTGTAGAGTGATTAGGCGTTGCTCGGTGCTTTCTAGTCGTGACTGCAGGTCGCTCATCTCATACTTGCGACTTTCTGCAAGCGTATGATGAGGGGGATCTGCATTATCTGATTAGCTCAAGCCTACCGAGTTCTTGCAAAGCGTTGAGTCGGCCGTCTTCAGAAACTCGGTGCGCATTAGCTAGATCATCGAGTGTCGACTGATACTCGTCCGTCTTCCTCTGCATCTGTTCAGCACCAAATTTGAGTTCCTGCTGAAGTTTCGCGAGTTCTGTACGGAGAGTAGAGCGTTCCGTATCGGCAGTGATGAGCTGGAAAAATCATCACTCATGATGGCGTCCTATTCATCACATATTGCAAAAGTTTGCTAATCAATGCATTATGTTATGGTACAAATGAATCAGCACTTGTTCGTTGTACCAAAGTCGCTAGGTAACGTCATTCACTTGCTTTCAGAAATGAAGGAAAATACTGTAACACCTACTTTGTCTGAAGTTTCCTGCAGTTCCTGGCGAAGTTTCTGCAGTTTGGAATCAAATTGTTGGGAGAGTTGTTGAAGGTGGTCGGCCTGCTTGGCTTTGTCCCTGTATGCATTCTGGAGGCGTTCACGCTGGAATAGAATTTCGTTAAGAAGATTATGTAAATATCGCATGAAGTGTTTCCGAAACATGGATAGATACCTCCTGTTTCAGATGATTCAAGCTGTTTTTCAGCTCCTTAATTGAATCCTCAGCAGTTTTGAGGCGGTTCTTGAGACGGTTGTTCTCCGAATCAAGATTAGCATTGGTGCTTCTCAGTACATCGTTCTCCCTCTGTACTGCATCAAGTTCACTTCGCCATTTGTTAGCATCAATTTGCAGCTGAGCGTATTGCTCTTCCAGCGTGCGCAGTCTGCAAAACATAGGTAAGAT